ACCAGCCTGGGCAACATGGCGAAACCCTGTCTCTACAAAAAATATAAAAATTAGCATGCATGGTGGCGCATGCCTGTAATCTCAGCTACTCAGGAGGCTGAAATGGGAAGGATGGCTTGAGCCTAGGAGGTCGAGGCTGCAGTGAGCCAAGATCCATTCTACTCCAGCCTGGGTGACAGAGCAAGACCCTGTCTCAAAAAGCAACACAAACACAGAACCTTCTAGTACAAGCAAAACTAACCGATGGTAAAATAAGGCAGAAAGGTAGACCAAAAGAAGGTATGAGCATACAAGGGAAGTTTCTGGAGTCATGGAAAGGTCTTCTGTCTGGACAGTGGTTCCATGGATATGTACAGTTCTCCAAGTGCATCTAAGCACACACTAAGATCTGTACATTTTACTATATATAAACTGCATCTTCAGTAAACAAATACGTAAATGAGCAGGTGCCTCTGCCCCAGCCCTGGCAACTGAGTCAGCAGGCTAGGGTGTGACCCACAAGCATCTCCATGCTCAGAAAGTGCCGAGTGTTGATGCCCAGCCTGTGGCTGGCACCGCCAGACACTAAATGCTAAACTCTCTTCCGGCCAGCAGAGTTGTCGAGCACTTACCATTAGGCTGTTTTTAAGCATAAACCTAATTGGGGTCAAAGTCTGGTCCCAGGGCTGTCTCCTGATCGTCAGCAAGTCCAGCTCTAAGCTACAGACAAAGCCCCCTCAGTCACCAGACAGATCCTGGCCATGTGCCGGCCATCACAGGGCCCACCATGCTGGGAACAGAAGGCAACACTCGCTTGCAGAGTGCGGAGGTACGTCAGGCACTGGGCGTCGGGCAGAGCCAGACAGGCACTCTCGAGTTCTGTCTCCCTGGAAGCCCTCCAGATAATGATTTTGGCTGTGTGTTGAGAAGCTGTTGTGTTGTAGACACTGTGCTCGCTGTTTTGGTTGCATGAGCGGATGCATTGTGTAGTTCACAGGGGCTGGGGCTCGGAGCCCCCCACTTCTCCATGATTGGCTGTGTTTCTCTGTACAAGTGACCTAACCTCTCTGAGGCTCAGCTCCTCATCTGTAAAATGAAGACAGTAGCAGTACGTCTTCCCTCCCAGAGCCTTTAGCATGGGGACCACTTAGGAAATGTTAACTATTATCATCTAATTTAATCCTTATACCCTCCAGGCAAGGTGCTATTCTCATCCGCAGAGCAAAATCAGAGGCTCAGAGAGGTCAAGTCCCTCGCCCAAGGTCATACAGCTAGGAAGTGGAGGAGCTGGGATTGAAACTTGGGTCTGCCCAACTCCTGACTCTGTTCACTGCACCATGCTGTCAGCATCTTTGTGGGATGGGGATCAACGCAGAAGACCCCCCGCAGACTGGAAGGAGACTCCATCGCTGGCTGAGTGCGAGCTTGTCCTTCTGGAAGGCTGTGTGCTTTCTGAAGACTGAGGCAGGAGAATTGCTTGAACCCAGGAGGGCTGGTTTATAAATTAAAAATGTCTGACTGGCTGGGCACAGTGGCTCATGCCTATAATCCCAGCACTTTGGGAGACCAAGGTGGGTGGATCACCTGAGATCAGGAGTTCGAGACCAGCCTGACCAACATGGCGAAACGCTGTCTCTACTAAAAATAAAAAAATTAGCTGGGCGTGGTGACAGGCACTTGTAATCCCAGCTACTCGGGAGGCTGAGACAGGAGAATAGTTTGAACCCAGGAGGTGAAGGTTGCAGTGAGCCAAGATCGCACCATTGCACTCCAGCCTGGGCAACAAAAGCGAAACTCCATCTCCAAAAATGATTTCACATCCCTCTTCTACCAGCTATGGGACACAAGTTGCTTAATGCCTCAAACTTCAGTTTCCTCATCTTTAAAATGGGAATGCTAACACCAGCCTTAACAGGCTACAGTGAGGATGCAATGAGTCAATAGGTATAAAGTGCATAGACGGCCACCCAGCACACCGTAAGCCTGTCGGACTTGTCAGCTGATACTGCTGTCATCTGCGAGGTCACACGCCTCTCTAGGTTTGTGACTGAGCTGGGCAGGGCTCCCGGTTGCAGTAGGATGGGAAGTTGTCCTTCATGCCTTTGAGGAAGTGACAGGATAGCCTCCAGGTGGCAAGTGGCAACAGGTGTAGCAAAAAGCCTTTTTGAACCACGTCCAGGAACTCTTAAGCTCTGAAATTAAAGCGTCTTTTGGATTCCCTCATTTTAAAAACCCAAAGCCTCGTTCCCAGGCTCCAGTTCCTAACCATCCTGCGAGAGATTCGGGCTGATGGCTACCCTCATATCTAACTGAACAGTGAGCTTCCTGTCCCACTGTCCTGGCTTTCTGGGTTATGGCAGCAGGTGCTCGACCAGACAGGGCTCAAGGTGAACAAACAACCCTTTTGTTTGTTTATTTTGTATGCTTGTTTTAGTGTTTTGCCTGTGTTGTGGGAACCACAGCATGGGTTTCTCAAGCTCTCAAAAACAAAAATAAAAGGTGAGCCATCAAACCATGACATCTAGCTGCCTGCATGAAACTCCAGAGGGCTCGTTTATAAATTTAAAATATGTGACTGGCTGGGCGTGGTGGCTCATGTCTGTAATCCCAGCGCTTTGGGAGGCTGAGGTGGGTGGATCACCTAAGGTCAGGAGTTCAAGACCAGCCTGACCAACATGGTGAAACCCTGACTGTACTAAAAATACAAAAATTAGCTGGGCGTTGTGGTGAGCACTTGTAATCCCAGCTACTGGGGAGGCTGAAGCGGGACAATCACTTGAACCCAGGAGGCGGAGGTTGCGGTGAGCCGAGATTGCGCCATTGTACACTTTTGAGCCTGGGCAACAAAAGTGAAACTTCGTCTCAAATAAATAAGTGAATGATTTAGTTAATTAAAATGTGTGACTGCATAGGCTGAAAGCAGAATGGCAGTACATAATAGGACATCCCTTCTACAGTCAAATGCCTGGTCCTCTTCTTGGCTGCATGACCTTGAGAATGTGTCACACTTCCTCTGTGAGCCTGAGTCTCCTCATCTGTAAAGTGGGCATGGTCATGGCACCCGCCCGATGGGACTGTTGTCAGATCAAGCAGGCAAGCTCTTAGCACAGCGTCAGCAAGCCTCAGCTTACATGATGGTCAGTATTCCAGGACCACTCCTAGTTGAACTCTTTAAGCGCTGGGGCTCCTGCCTACTGGCTGTATGACCTTGAGCAAATTACTTCACCTCTCTGAGTTTCAGGTTCCTCATTAGCAAAATTGAGGCCCCCATGTTCTCTCTATAAGGGATTGTCCTGAATATTAAATTCTGAAAATAACTATCTAAGGTAGCTTAGAGCAAGAAAGACAGGCCAGAAAGGCCATAGAAGCAAAGTACCAGATCCCCAACACTGAAGGATTATTTACCGGGTGGCTGTGAGGAGGGAAGGTCAGCCTGACAGGACACAGAAATATCGACTGCTTCTTTTTTGGAGGATTGAGGGGGGCACAGAATCTCACTCTGTCGTCCAGGCTGGAGTGCAGTGGCGTGATCTCGGCTCACTGCAACTTCCGCCTCCTAGGCGCAAGTGATTCTCCTACCTCAGCCTCCGTAGTAGCTGAGATTACAGGCACCCGCCATCACCCCCAGCTAATTTATATATTTTTTGTAGAGATGGGGTTTCACCATGTTGGACAGGCTGGTCTCAAACTCCTGACCTCAAGTGATCCTCCCACCTCAGCCTCCCAAAGTACTAGGATAACAGATGAGAGCCACCATGCCCAGCCGATGGCGTCTACATTTGAGTAGTCTCAGCATCTTCCTGGTTAGACTTGTTTTATGTCTGCTGGTAAAATCAACACTCTTTGGGAACACATGATTCTGTGGACTGTGCTTAAACAGCTTCTGAGTCCAAGATATCATTTCCCAAAAAAGCACACAAGGGATAAATATCCCCCAACAGCAGAATTCTTTTTTTATAGAAGCATCACTAGAAAATGCTGTTCAATGTCAAGCATCCCTCATGTGCATAATGTGCTACTTGATTTACACATAAAGGAGTATATCGTGCAGAGGTAAAAGGTACAGTTACGGGAGTGAGATCACTCCCCCACCCAGCCCCGGGTGCTCCAACTCTGCCAATTACCAGCTACAAAACTTTATGGCCTTTGCCTCCATTTCCTCATTTGTAGAAGGGAGATTATCGTACATGGTATCTATCTCACCTATAGGTTGCATGAAGAATAAACAAAGCCCGGCACGGTGGCTCATGCCTGTAATCCCAGCACTTTGGGAAGCCAAGGTGGGTGGATCACAAAGTCAGGAGTTCAAGACCAGCCTGACCAAGATGGTGAATCCCCATCTCTACTAAAAATACAAAAATTAGCCTGGCATGGTAGCACATGCCTATAATCCCAGCTACTCAGAAGGCTGAGGCAGGAGAATCGCTTGAACCCGGGAGGCGGAGGTTACCATGAGCCAAGATTGTGCCACTGCACTCTAGTCTGGGCGACAGAGCAAGACTCTATCTCAAATAAATAAACCACCAAGATAATTCTTGTAAAAAAAACCTTACCACAATAAGAAAAGGCACAATATATGTGGGTAGTATTCCTCCCAACGCTATTTTCTGAGCGCCTTCTCTGTGTCTGCTGCCATCTGCCCTGTGTCTGCCTTCCTAGAGCTTACACCAGGGATGTGGGCTATGGAACTAGAAGCAGGCAGCAAAAAACATAAACAAGATGATGACCTGTTGTGATCACAGCTATGTCCAAAACCAGGAAGATGCTAAGACAGAGAATGTCATGGGACCTACTTGCAAATGTCGTGTTTGGAAAGCCTCACTGTGGAGGTCTCATTTAAGTGACAGATGAGAAGGAGCCAGTGAGAAGGACAGTGGGGCCGCAGCCGCTCATTTCAAGCATCAAGGCGCAGGTGCCTCCTGCAGGGTCCAATCCAGCAGGTCCGGGGAGGCCATGAGGGTGTCTGCATTTCTCTTTTTCTTTTTTTTTGTTTTTTTTTTTTTTTTTCTGAGATGGAGTCTCACTCTGTGGCCAGGCTGGAGTGCAGTGGGGCGATATCAGCTCACTACAACCCCCGCCTCCTGGGTTCAAGCAACTTTCCTGCCTCAGCCTCCTGAGTAGCACACCCAGCTAATTTTTGTATTTTCAGTAAAGACGGGTTTTCACCATGTTGGCCAGGATGGTCTCGATCCCTTGACCCTGTGATCTGCTCACTTCAGCCTCCTAACGTGCTAGCATTGCAGGCATTAGCCACCGCGCCTTGTATTTCTAACCAGCTCCCAGAGCTGCTGGTGCTGCAGGATCACACTGTGAGTGGCCAGGGACCGGCAGAGGGCAGAGGGTGGATCCAGGTCCAGACGGCAGAGTGCTTTGAAGGCAAGTGGGGTGTTTGCATTTTGTTCTCAGGATAGAAGGAAGCCAGGCAGAGGAGTGACATGACTGAAGGATGCTTCTAGAAGCTCATTTTGGCTGCTGCGTGAAGATTCACCGGGGCCAGAGCAGCCACAGAGAGACCAGGTTGGAAACTGATATCATTGTCCAGGTGACGGTGGCTTAGACAAAGGTGGCAGTGATGGCAGAAGCTGGAAGTAGGTGGATCTGAGACCTTTGAACAGGTAAAATCAACCACACTTGCTGAGGGGTTAAATGTAGCTATTCTTCATAGTATACATTAGCACAGGTGCTTAAGTTTTTAAAACTCTATAGTATAGAGTAGTAGCTCTCAAAGCAGGGGTAATTTTGCCCTCCCATCGGACATTTGACAATGTCTGGAGACATTCTTGGTTGCCCCAGCTGTGGAGATGCTTCTGGTATCTAGTAGGTAGAGACCAGAGATGTTGTTACACTACCCTCATTGCACAGCACGGTGCCTCCAACAAAGAATTATGTGCCAACATGTCAGTGGAGCCAAAGTAAAGAAACCTGGGGTAGAAGTACAGGAAGGCAGAAGTGTCCTGCCTGCCCCACCCCCGCCTGACCCCCATGCCCCAGAGATAACTTGTTCCCAGTGTGCATGATGGTCCAGACTTCGTTCTTTCATATACGCAGACTTCTGTAAGCTCCCTCACCGGCGAAGTCATGCTTGGGAGAGGCTCAAAATTCAGGAGCCCTGAGCCCACCGCAGGAAAAGACGCCTGTTCATTTTGTCAAATCTCTTCTGTTCCTTCCCCATGCAGAAGGTGACTGCCACATTGCCCAAAACTTTATCTATTCTATCAGTTGTGATATCCTTTCTTTTCTCCAAAGAACTCTCCAAAAACTGCCGTCCTTGGGACCTGGGCAGACTTCTGTAACTGGGACTAACTCATAAAACCTGAGAATTTCAGTGCAGGAAGAAATGTTGGGATAACATAGTCCTACCCGTGTTTTTACTGTACAGGGGGGAAACTGAAGCCCAAGACTTCTTGGAAGTGGGGAAATCCCCTTATAATAAATAGTCCCTTCTTCATCTGCTGGGATATTAATTTCAGATTTTTGGTGTAACGCAGAGTTATGGATTATGTTTCTGATTCATCTTTCTTGGCCACATCTATATGTAAGGTCGGTTACGACGGCTGACAAAGCGGACATTCTTAGCCTTGTACTTCCTAAATGCTGTGACAGGTGGTCTCCAAAACTGGGAGGAATTTTACCAATCTGTGAACTTGAACTCTGTAGTCTGGGAAGACCGGTTGAATCTCTTTTCACTGGCTGAACTGAGCATGATCTTCATGTGGCCATCCATGGGTACCTGAGCTATTCAGAGGTCAGTTTTGAGTTCAAGCTCACACATGGAGTGTTGCAGCCCCTGGTCGTCCTCCTATTATCCATGCTGTCATCCCTTTAAAGGCCTCACAGAAGCCCCCAAGTGGAAAGAACTGTGTCTACCTCCTGTAGAACCCCAAGCAAGGACTCTGCAGCTCAGGGAGGCCTACTCCATGGCAGCAGTGAGGGCCCCAGCAGCTGGAATCCAGCCCTGCCTTCCAGCTACCTGTGCCCTGAGCCCAAGGGAGGGACGCTGCCCCCTCTTCCCACCCAGCCAGTGGAGAGAGGCTTAGGAAGGCACCCTGGGAAGCCTCCCCACTTGTTTTCCCAGACTCCGCAGGTTGGGGGTAAAGGGCATGAAGAGTCTGGTCTTTGATAGTTTGGCACTGAGGAGCCTTTGAATGTTCTTGAGCAGGGGGTAACCAGATAGAAAACAGCTATTCCAGGAGGATCAAAATGGTAGCAGTGTGCTGGGTGAATTGGATGGACAGGAAAGATGGGGAACGAAGCCTGTTAGGTTCAGTGAGGAGTAAGTGTCTACCCCAGAATGGCAGCAGTGGAAACAGAAAAGGGGGATGAGATGGGCATTTGTAACTAATGGATGTTTGTGACTTGCCCGTGAGTGAGCAAGAGCCAGGGGTCATGGCTGACCTTGGTTTTGAGCCCAGATGAGGAAGATGGTGACTCTGCTGATGTGGGAAATCGGCAAAGGTTACTTAGCCTCTCCTAGCTTCACTTAAGACAGCTGTAGAATGAGGTTCTGTATTGAGTAGTGGGGAGGATTAAATGAGATTGTGCATGGAAATTAACCCAGGCCTGAGGGGAGTGCAGGCACTAGGACTATGAAGAGCCTCATGAGCAGGGCTTAATCCTGGGGGCAACCATAGGGAGCCATGGAGGGATCATGCCCAAGGGTGGGATCGTCACATTTGCCTTTTGGAAGGACCCCTCCGAGAGCAGTGGAGAGAGGGCAGACCAGGGGGCAGAGAGGTCATGGGGGGGGGGGGGAAGGCCCACCTGTATCCAGGTGAGGTGTGGGTGGCTGTCCGGAAGCGGACTGGCTGCCTTGCGCTCCTCCCGCCCTTTGTCCTTGGGGAAACCACTGTGAGGAATGCAAAGTGGCCAGCTTGTGGGGCAGCCCCACTGTGGGTGTGGGTGTGTGACTGATGGCCCATCTCTACACAAACCCTGCACTGGGCCAGCCCCTCCAGCAACTGCAGGCCTAGCAGAGGCTGGGCTGTTTGACCAGAGAGGCCACAAGTATTCAGTGGGAGCACGCAGCTGCAGCCTGAGTCACCCTCCTTCCAACACAGCATCCCCACCCCCCAGTCCCCGGCCCGCTCCTCCCCCAGCGGATCTCCATCCCCGCTTGCCTCCTCGGGGACTGGATCTTAATTCACCCTGCCACCATCACCCTGCCCTCATCTCTTCCTCCCCTGAGCTTCCGCAGATCCCCTGCACTTCTGCTCGATTTTTCCTCCTTTGTGCTGTCCATGCCTCTCTGTTCCTTCCTGCCCTTGGTCTCACTGTGGCTTCTTCTCTTTGCCCATCGTGGGCATGCAGGAGGCTGAGGGCAGAGGCTGGTGATGCCTGTGGGTGCCGGCACCGTACCCAGCCCATGGGGAGGAGATGGAGCCCCGGGGCTGTCTGCCTGCTCTGACCAATCCATCTCCGCTTCCTTTCTTTTCTTCTGTATCTGTTTGCTGGAGGCCATGACAATAACGTTTTCAAGGACAGGCCTGGTTCTTCCACCCTCTATTTCCTGCTAACAGCCCAGAGGCATTCCCACCCAGTGATTTATGATCCTCTCTATGGCCTGGTGCCTTCTAGGGCAGTGGCCTAGGAGACATTTCCCACTTGCAGACCTGGGACTCTGTCCTTCTTCCCTTACAGCCGGGGCCACAGCCCTCTCTTAGTGAGTGACCTTAGCAGCCATCCTCAAAACACCCCGGCCAAGGAAAGAGCTCTGATAACCCTCAGGCCCCGACTCTCAGCTCCCATTCCCTAACCCCCACTTTTGCAGGTGCTAGTGGCCTGACTGTGCAAGCTGAGAGGATGCATGGGCACAGGTGGCGTTGGCTGCTCACGCTGTTGACACCAAGCTGGCCTCAGAAAAGTGGGGTGGGGGGTGGGGGCTGACCTGTTTTGTTTTGCTGTTTTAGTCACTTATTTCATTTTAAAAGTTTTATTAGGCAAAAGAGTGTTTTTGGTTCATAAATGGAAACATTGCCAGGTCCAGCTGGATTTCTGGGTCCAGTGGTATCCTCTGGAGGTTCTCTCAATTTCCACCTCGGCTCGCGTTACCTCTCTGCTGGTCCCCTCCTCAGCCAGCCTCTCCCCTTGCGAAGATGATAGGGCCACCAGCAGCTCCAGTCTGCTTCCCACAAACCCAGGGGGATGGGAGTCTGAGTGTTTCCTCCAAAGCAAAGAACTGAGCCTCACTGGTTCTGCCTGGGCCATAGCCCCGCCCCCTAGGACAGAGAAGAACTGATTGGCTAGGCCTGACCACGCCCAGCCTTAGAATCTGCCAGAAAGAGGCCCTGCCTGGTATGCAAGCACATGGCATGGCTACCACATCACCTGAGTGCTCATCAAGGTAACCCTGGGCAGCCTGGCTCCCCCAGCCCAGCATGGCCAAACCCTCAGGCCTCCAAAGACCCTTGTTGGGAATCACTGGTACAACGGCTTGGATAGCTTTACATTCCGGGGAAAGACAATAGCATCTACGTAAAGGGTCCCTGCAGTGACTTCTTTTCTGATAAGAAGTATCCCTCAGTTTACCTGTTTGGGACATTCCTATTTGATATTAGGCTTTTGTAAAGAGAGGGCGTACCTGTGGGGGACCTGGCACTGGGTCATTTCCCCGAGATGGCATTGCCATGTTCCCCAGCACCTGGATGACTGCTGCTTCATGTTGATGTTTGCTGAATGGACGTCTGGAGAGACAGCAACCAGAGGTCAGCAGCTTTGCTCCTGCCCCTCCAGGGCCCACCCTCCCTGGCAGCACCATCCAGCCATCCATGCCCAGCTCATAGGGGGCACTCAGGAAATAGCAGCTGTTATTTGCTCATTATATATATATTTAGAGACAGAATCTCACTGTGTTGCCCAGGCTGGAGTACAGTGGTGTGATCTACGCTCACTGCAACCACTGCCTCCCAGGTCAAGTGATTCTCCCACCTCAGCCTCCTGAGTAACTGGGATTGCAGGTGCCCTTCACCACGCCTGGCTAATTTTCCTTTTTTTTTTTTTTTTTTTTTTTTTTAGTAGAGACAGGGTTTCACCATGTTGGCCAGGCTGGTCTCGTACTCCTGACCTCAGGTGATCCACGCACCTTGGACTCCCAAAGTGCTGGGATTACAGGCGCGAGCCACCGTGCCCAGCCATTGTCATTACTATTGTTATTGTGGTTGTTGTTCAGCCTGGAAGTTTCTCCAGGCTCAGGAGGCAGTCTTGACCCTTGCTGGTCTTTACCCCTCTGGCTGCTTCCATTCCATGTCTAAACATGTGGAATTATAATTCCTTAGCTCATCTTTGGATCTAAACACCCCAGAGGGTAGAGGTGAGGCTGGCATAGCTCCTGGCCTGAGGCCAGGACATTCACTGATGCACCAGAGGCCGGGACACCCACCATGAGGCTTTCAGGAAGAGGATCTGGGTTTGAATCTGCACAGCGCTGGTTATGAGCCTGTGACCTCAGCTCGCTTCCCTCCTCTTACGGCAGGGATGAGATAGCAGCCAGGGAGTACTGAGATGATTCCAGTCACAAAGATGACATCCAAAATGTCCAGCTCTGAGCCTGGTACCGGGACAGAGCTCTAGGCCTGTGGGTTCAGATTCATCTGTGTAGCCCAGAGAGGGCAGAGTTCCC